AATTGTTTAAATTAAAAATTCTTGTCATGTAAATCATAAATATTAATTTTTATATTAATCTAACATTTATAATTTTTTAGTTAAAGAATCTCTATTTACTTGTATATATTTAATAGTTTTTTTTTTTTTTGTATTAACTTCTTGTATTCAAAAGTCACATTGAACCCCAATTAATTTGGAGTTAAGCTGCGTTGGATACCATAAAAGGGAAAACTCTCCTAATACCTATTTCTCTATTCATAAGACTTGAATTTAAAATTTTGTTTAAGGAAAATCGAGTTTCTTCTACTCAAACTAGAAGATCATTAATTATATTTAACAATGTTAAATTTTGTGTAATTAAGGAACTAGTTAGATCTTTTAGATCAATCTAAAAATTAATATGTAAGATTTATATTAATAAAATTTTTAATCTAATTGTTCATTTTTTAAAATATTAATTAAAATATGAGTTTTAAAATAAAATTTCAAAATAATTAAAAAAACAACTTACTAAATATTTTTTCATATTTATATATGATAGTACTTATAAGCTGAATTAAAAAAAAAAAAACACTTAAAAGCTATGTTATTTTAATAAAATATCTCAAAAATTTAAACAATTTTATTTTTACTTATAAAATAAATTATTTAAGGTTTTTATAAATAAAAATTTATAACAATGATGCAACTATAGACTAGTTTATTCCCTGGCTGGGCTCATAAGTTATTATTCCCCTTTTCTCAAACACTTTCATTAAAAAGTGTTCCAATAAAATTGGCACCAAAGGTACCTTCTGTAATTTTTGCCTTTGGACGCGCTTCGCGGCTGTATGCCTGGACCTAAACCTTCTGCGTAGCTTAAGTACTAACAAATTATGGCCATGCATTTTCATTTATGGCCTTCACAGAAAAATAAATCTCAAACCATTACTAGCTCAAAATAATGATATTTATTTATTTACCTGTTAATTCAAAGGAGCATCAGAATGCCCCTACTAATTTGAGCTGCTGGGAAATTGATGATCCCTAACAATTGACATTCAATCATGCACATAATTATACACTGGAAAGTCAGTATATGAAGAAGGGTCAGCACCAAAATGGAGAAGGGTATAGCAGTGCTCACAAAAGTAACACGGGTTCTCGTGTGCCCACTTGTTGTCTTTTGTGACCTTTGTGGCTCTATAAATTTTGCAGGCATTGCATTTCTGGACACGGGGTTTCAGTTGAAAGATGACAATGGGATAAGCTGCCTGGTTCTTCACATCCTCAGGATGAATCAATCTCATGTCTCTAATCACAACTGTATGCTTGCAGTCCCCCTGTACAAAGTTAAACCAAAAGAAGTTTCTCTTCTTCAAGAGTAAGGAAAAACATATTCCAACAGCCATGCACAGGGAGATTGCATGAGGGCTTAAAATGTGTAGAAAAGTTTTTAAACTCTATAGAATCCCATCGTAGAATTTGATCCACAAAACAACAGCTAAAATATGTTCATTGAGAGGACAAGGGAGTACGAATGCCCTTCAATTTTCTTGCTGTCATTTTTGGTGGGTGCAAATTCGCAAGTAAAGGATCTCTACTTTCTTTTTTTTGGCGCAATATAGGTGAAAATTTTGTACCTGATGACAATAGAGGTATCCAGCACCAAGTCGAAAGTTCAAGTTGCAAAATTGTTTTTCATGCATGTTAACAGCTTCAAAGTGAGGCAATTCTGAGGTTGGTGCACTGCCTAAAATTTCTCTATGCTTTTGTTGCAGTTGACCTGTTACTGAGCATTCCCATTTCCTAAGAGCATCATCCTTTGAGTTGCTAAGCCAATCCAGTATTGATTTGCTGTAATCTATTGCAGAGGGATCTCTTAAATCATTGTAGAATACACCCTGCTCAGTTATAGCAGTCCATTGGGTATGATAACTTACAACTATTTTATCACTAAAAAGGACAAATGAATCAAGCTGCTTACTTCTATAACGAAATATCCAGAAGGATCATGCTGCCCGGCCTTTTTCATCACTTGGTCTGACAAGCAATATATTTTGTCCCTCAATTCGGTCAATTTTTGCTGTCCAAGTACCAGGAACTCTTGGATCTAAAAACAATTCCAGAAAAGTTACTCCAGTAGACAGACAGGAGAAAAGGAATAAAAAGTGAATCAAAGAGTATATAAGTAGATTAATTGTCAAAAGGAAGACCAACAGCATGTTTATCGAAGAGCCTTTCTCACATATGACAGTAAACTGCTAAACACACACCTTATCAATCAGCTTTAAATCACCAGTACTGAAGATATCATAACATTATCCTTTGAAGTTAGCTACCAATAGGATACCAAATTTGAAATGATATGGAGTTCACACTATATACCTTTGCCCATTTTCATACGTTATGGTAAACCTCAACGCAAAGAACAACTTCTTGGCCTGAAACAGGTATGAGCTGTTCAATGTCTGATGAACTTACCTGTTTTTGATCCAAAGAAAACAAACATGGATAAGACATTTTCAGCCAACAGAAAGGTAAACTCAGCATTAAAATTATGCATGAATAGAAAGAAAACTTTAGGTGTAAGCTTCATTGCCATTGTAACTCTTAAAATCATAATCCTAATATTTCATCAAAACAACATGGTTACCAAGACCTAAGAGTTAGAGGTTTGGAAATTATCCTCAGTTCAATTGTGTTCAGAAGATTATAAAATCTTGAGAATTTCATCATCATGTTGATGGAATTTACCCCTAGTTGCTATTAAGACAATGTGAAACTTGTGACCAGAATGTAAATGGGAAATATGGAAGAAAAGGAGAAGAGGGAATTGCAGAGGGAGTAAAATACAGGACGCTATTTAGAAAGGGAGAGAGATAAGATAACTCCCAATATTTAATTCTTTATCATTGTCATAAAACTCGAACCGACACAACAGTAAATACACACTGTTAAAACCTTAAATTCATTTTAATCAGGATTCCTAATGATTTAAATCAATTATCCTAATTTAATTATAATTGATATTGGAAACTATTTAATCTCAATCTTAAAATATCAAAATCACAAAAATAGTTAAAAATAATATGATTTATAATTTATTCCTCCAAGGGTTCTCTCATGGCAGCATCGCTAGCATTTCATTCAAAACATATAACAAAACAAAACTTAGGACTGTCCAGTACTTAAAGGTGGAAAGCTTTTTATGATACATAACCTCATGCATAATCTGTGTTTCAAGGGATTACAGAAACCAGCACATAGCAGTATCAAACAGTTTCCAAGATTGCTTTGCAAAATGCAAACATA